TTTGGTAATGGGCCACAATAATCAACCACATTGTATACCGACAAAATAAAATTTAAAAAAAAAATTTCCATAGAGAAAGGTGACTGGAGTCATTGCTGTCCTTCTGGAAGTGGCTCTCCTCATCTTTCATTTTAGCGCAGGCAAAGGACTGTATTTTACCCATGGCTGTTTTGTCTGTCAGAGAATCTGCCCCATTAGTTTAGCAGTTGGGGGTCTGATCACAAGAGGGCAGAACATTTTATGCTAAAGGTTCCTTTTGGTTGGCTTCTGTGAGAGTAGGCAAACCACAGAAGCAGATGCCTGGTGCAGACAGTTTAAGAAACTACTGTGCTTTGTAGGAAAGGAAGAGATAATCTGATAATAGATAGAGCTCTTGTGGCTGCAGATTGCAAGTTCCAATGGGCAGAACAATGAAGACACTTACTGGACCTTTGTTTCTGTTCTTGTGGTTGCAGCTGGACTGTGAGTTGGAAGTCTTTGGGGGACAGGGTCTTTAGTAAATACTAGGGTATTTTAGAAAGTTAATGGAAAGTGTGAGACTGTGAGCACAATTGACTCCATCTTAGGCCCTAACCACTTGTTATGACTTTGTGAAAGCTTTGCTCAGTTATGTAGTAACTAGGAGAAAGGTGGTTGGAACAATAGATTGGAACCGCCTGTTGACTGTAAAGAAGGAATGATTAAGTACTAGTACAGCAATAAGTACAACTGCTTGTATAAACCTGAACTCAGCCTTGAGAAAGCACAGAGAAGAGCTTGACATATGCCTTTGGGTCACTGTCTAGCCAACTCATCACTCTGTATAAGTAAGTTACCCTTCAATAAAGTTCCTTGGTTTATCACATGGAATGGCCTATTTCATTGTTCCACCTTGATACACCTTCCCAGTTAGGTGGACAATCTACCCTTGGTCCACCTTCAGACAGAAAGATTTATTTTTATCTTTTAATTCTGTTTTTCCACAAACTTTTGAAGTACCCTCAATTTATTAGAAGCCTGAGGAGGAGACTGGCCTTTTTCACGTTGCCTGAAATTACTGTAGGG